TTACCTTTTGTTAACATTTCCTTACTCAGCATTGCTGTTTAAGCTGTTGTTGAACTGTTGTATAAAAGCAATATCACATGAGAGTGAGTGATGCTGTACTGTATATTGTCACGGCTGTAATCCGTCTGTGCAGTGCGACGCACAGCCTAGGAAACAGAAGTACTGCAAAATAAACATTATAACGTTATTTCGTCTCATCTCGTTTTGGTCAATGAAAATGAAGAGACATTTTAGCAGAGGTTTTATCTTCTAAACCACATTTAGTCTCATTTTTATTCGTCAACAATATTGCCTTATATATTTAATTATAGTAATCGTCACATGACCACCATTTACGTTGCGTCTCGTTTTCGTCACGTGATAAAGGTTCGTTGACGACGATATTTAGTCATACTTTTCGTTGATGAAAGCAACACTACTTTCATTTTGAGTTGATTTTGGCAACCCTGTGGACAAAAGTGGTAATGTTTTGCCGGAATTAAGCCTACATTTCCCATGACCTCTAGCGCGTATTGTCGTAAAGACGCTTATCTGGCTCGCGCATGTGTTTGTTTTGGGGATGAATGAAACAACAAGACGGGAAAACTTTGCCCCCGCTCCTATCAGGGATCCCAGCTCACCTCTGCCGCGCCCCAGCTCCACCTCTCCGGCATAAGCGCGGTAAACGCAGCGGTCGGCTGGTAAGGATGAAAGCCTGTTTGGCGAGCACTTCCACGGCTTCTTGGACTGAGTATGGAGCGGTGCCTCGCCTCTTTATTTCTTGGCACTCAGCCCCACGGCCCCTGCTCTCCTCATCCCCGCTGGCACGGGGTGAATCTGCGCAACCTGCAGCCTCTGTGTGTGGTTCCCTGGACAGCTAACGCCGTGGACCCATCGGCTCCTGCCAGGATTGGGCTGGTAAATGCTAGATCGCTAGCGAACAATACGTTTATCCTGAAGGATTTCCTGACTTCCTGAGGATTGGATTTTCTCTGTGTGACTGAGACGTGGCTGACTGTTGGTGAGTCCAGTTCTTTCACAGAACTTTTACCTTATGATTGCTGCTATTTTAACTCCCCGCGGATGTCGGGTTTAGGAGGAGGAATAGCGACTATTTATAAGAGTCACTAAATGTAAGCAGCTAGGTAAGATGAAATGTGCCGTCTGAGTGCCGTAAATCACTTCGTCCTGGAAGCGACCTGGTGCGGACCTGGACACAGTTTCCTAAAGGTATGGATATACACTATATAGAAATAGCTTATCTTCACACCGATGGTCTCATTTGCTGTTGTAGGTCACGCACAGACATCAGCAGAAACGAGAGACTTTTGCATATCCAGTTAAAAGTTCCTTGTAGCGGCTTTAAGGAGATAAAAGAACCTCAGTGGACGCAGCGAAAATTTATTCTGGAGTACCCTTCATTATTAAACCATATATACAGTCTCCTAAAAGGCTATTTTGTACATGTGTGTGTGCACAACAAAACAAGACAAAGCATCACTTTGGCAGCAGCGCAGTCCGTGGTAACATCAGTCCCCTCTTGGCAGCAATCCAACAGCTTTAACATAATCAGCAGAGAAAATGAAGCTGTGAACTCAGAGTTAAAACCCAAACCGGTCTGCCCTGTGCACCCTCAGCTCAGCACACATTGGTACAGATAAAGTCAAAAGATGCTTAGTTTACAGGCCGGAGGGGTCATTTGTATCACAGCAGCCCTCCTGTGAGTGATTTACACGAGCTCAGAGGACAACAAGTTTAAGTTTTGTTTCCTTCGTCAGATTTCTGTTTTCATGTCGGTACCTGATGAGGAATCTTCCTAATCTGGAAGCTTGTTTGACTTTAGGCAACAGAGGAGGAAGAAGAAGCCGTCGGCCTGAGTCTTCAAAGGCAGGGGTTTTTGTCTTTGACACCGAGGCCAGGGGAAAACATGCCTTTCCAGATTTTCACAGTCTGAGTGGCACTGCTGTGAGTACATCTGAATTCTGAAAGATGTTTTGGAAACTGCTGCATTTGTTGTCACGAAAATCGAGATGGTTTTTCGGTGAAGCAACGACCCTCTGAGGGCTGAATCTCAAACAACTGAGATCAGAAGAGATAGTCACAGACGAAGAGACATCAGAGAGGTGTCTTTGTATTTATTCAGGTATACTAAAAACACAGAGCTTTGGTTATATGTAGAACTTTAAACTCTTATGAGTGTATTTATCTTGACAATTGAAGGTGTAAAATAACATGTAAAAACATGTAAAAATAAAATGTAAAATAACCTGTACCTCACATTTACTGGTGCATCCGGCTCATAAACAAAAGCACTGAGGCTGAGTCAGGCAGTTTAGAATGTGTTGGGTGTTGCTTAATCAATCAGTGGGACAGCCGCTCTAATGACTGAGTCATGGCGGTATTGATCAGAGCCGTGTGAGGTGGGGGAGGTGTGCTGAGAGGATCAATCCAAGCCTGGAGCAGCAGTGTGGGTTTCAACTGTGAGTAAGACTCCCTCGCTCATTGAGGCCAGTTGAACATGCAGGATTTTAACAGGGACAATGCATCAGAAGCTGAAGCTGTTGTATATGATGCGTACCATAAAGACAAAGATAATTATTTTATTCCAACAAGAACCTTCCTAAAGTCTTCTTTCATATGTTAGAAGTCAACATTCAATGTAGTCCATTAAATATTAATTACAAGAGTGATTTTTTTTTTTTTTTTTTGCAATATTGTTTTGTCCTGTTTTATTATTATTATTATTATTGTTGTTATTATTATTGTTTTTGCAAATTCCCGTGAAATGGTACTTCGTAGAGACATGACATTTTTACCAATGATTGGAAGTTGAGTACAGATGGTGCTCAAGAAATATAATGCTGACTGACCAGATGGGGGCGCAATAATTTTGGTCGAAGAAAAACATCATATGGATGCACCAATGGAGTTTAAGTCCAGACTTGCTATGTAAATGCACTCCAAAAGTGAAAATATACTTTTCCTGAGTAAAAACATTTATGTCAATTCAAAATGAACAGCAAAGTAAAATGACACTGATGATACTCTCTACGCTTACAACTCTGTATGTGCAATTTCACCGCCTTGTGACCCATTATCTCAAGATTGACACTTCTGACAAACGGCGCAGCCTCAGAGCATTTCCAGGTACTGGCTTTAACCACCATGACATTATTCTAAATCAATTTGGCTTTACAACTGCATTTTTCCACTTCCATAAACTAACTAACAGGCTGACTGGTGGAATGATGCAGACTCATTGTGTGTCCTAAGTGCATAGACGGAGCAAAACAGGGGCATTGCAAGAATATTTCCTGGTGCTCCCACTAACTCACCTGGTAGAGCAGGCGTCCCATGTACAAAGGCTGTGTCCTTTGCTGCATGTAATCCCCCCTCTGTTGCTCCTTCCATGCTACTGTATGTTTGTCCTATCAAATAAAGGCAAAAAGTCCCCAAAAAATATCTAAAAAAAAAGAAAAAAGTCTAATGTTTGGAGCTGCTCCACAGACAATGAATGGGAGCCTGATTTTATGGACCCAAAACATGTTTGTTTTATTATGTTGTATTGTTCTCAGTTCTGAAACAGAAAATGTTCCCATATACTTGGAATTTTCCCCTGGGTGCTCACGGTGTCATCACATTTGTCCTTGGTCATTAGTTCAAGTTTAATACATTCAGTGTCATGCTTGTGTTTGGACATGTCCTCAAGCTAGTGTGCTGTCTCTGTCAATTAGCTGTTACATGAATTACATGTAATAATTTTGAAAATGGGTGCAACTCCCTTGTAAAACATTTTAAGACTTTATAAGGACCTGCAGTCGAGTCCACCATTTCTGCGCTGGATTCAAATAGCAGGTATGTGCAGTATTCTTAACAGTCGGTTCTGGGCATTTCAAGAAGAAAACCTAATTACGCTTACAACACTTTGTAACTTTAATCATGTAATGTGAACTGATTTGCAATTTGTTTGTCTTCTTTTGTTGAACTTCTAAAAAGCAGCTGCTCACAGCACATTTCCTGCCCCCTCTGATCTATAGGGGATGCCACTACTCTAGCACTTGACCTCTTAGATCTTTAGAGCAATGTCTTTTAATTGTCCCATGATTGAGGCTGGTGGGTCGTGCCTTTGCCATAGCTGCTCCAAAGCTTTTGAATAGCCTTCCACTCTCAATCAAACTCTCCCTCTCCACTGACACTTTTAAGACAAATCTTAAAACGTACATGTTTTAAATGGCCTTTAGTTGTTCATAGTGGTTTTAACATCTTAGTATACTGTAATCTTTTTTTTATGTATGTAATTGTTCTTTTAAGTTTTATATTTGTGGACATGTTATATTTCTATATACTTGTGTGTCATTCTTTTAATTTGTACAGCACTTTGGTTCAACTGTGGTTGTTTTTAAATGTGCTATTTCAGTAAACTTAATTTGATTTGATTTGGTTTAAGGTGTTGTCTTGAACTGAATTCTGGGATTTGTATTATTGAGACATTCTACAGTTTCAATATTATTTTATACTATATGGTATAGTTTATTGTCCCACTTGGATGGAGCAGTGACATGCTAGGATGGGTTATATCACGTCCATATCCATCTAAAACATGGCCATGTTTTCATTGTTTCTTCCTCTAGGTTTCCCAGGGTCAGAAAAATGGACTTCCATGCAAAATCATTTAAGAACCTTTTTCAATATTTAGTGGTACAGTAGCCCCAAGAGAAATAAACATTTAGTAAAAGGATGCAGTAAATGGTAGATAGGTAGCTGTCCTTAAAACTCTATAGTATGAATGCAGGACTGGCAAAGCAAGTGTACAGTATGTGGAGGCTGCCATGGTGGGAGTGGGTTTAGTCACTCTCAGATGTTGTTGGACTGTTCACTGTATGTATATGCCTCACGTCTTTATAGATCAGATTTCACATAAGTGGGAGGGCTGTCAGCTACACTGCAGGCTTTTCAAGAATCATCCACAACTGTGCTGCAAAACTGATGAAAGACTGTGTTTGAGGAAAAGAGCCTTTTACCTCTGAATGCTCCTCAGCACGTGCCACCTCTTCCTGCAGGAGGTTCTGCGCCGTCTGCAGACTGTGCTTCTGGACATGAGCCTCTGCAACGACAAAGACACATCACTGATGCATGCGAAGAGAGGAAGATGAGGTATGACTTCACTGGAGCTGGAAGAAAAATCCAGTAACCAAGAAACCACAGCAGAGAAAATTATTTTCCAAATCACAAAGAGCCTTGAGGGTATGTGCTGACGAGGAGATGGTGGTGATGGGGTGGACAGTTGCTGGCCAGAAAAAAGGGAAAACAGGGGCTGTAAATATTAAACTTTGAGCTATTTTGGGAAGCTGGTCTTAGTTTGGTTTGACCACGAAACTCAAACCCAGCCCAGAGTCTCATTTTTGCCGTCAATAAATCTATAAAGCTTCAACAAACAAATAATTATCCGGGCTCTTTTTAACGTTGAACCTCGACAGGAATGCCTGACAGCTCAGTGTTCATGTGCAAACACAGATACCATCTTTGAATTATTTATGTTCATGTCAATACAATGAAAAATGCAGGGAACCTTAAAAAAAAAAGATGATGGCAACTGCATCAAGTATAATCTGCCACAGAATGTTCAAACCAGCTCATATCAACATTATCTCAGGAACGCAGAGCAGTAACATGATGACTGAGAAGATATTGTTTGTCATTGTGATGCATTCGGTCAGCAAACTGTCAGGAGACGCTGATGAATACTGAATGGTCAGTCATGGATGCTTGCAACAAACAATGTCTCCTCCTCCATAGAAATTTGACTAGCCTGGGGGTTTATTTAAAGGGGACCTATTGTGCTTTTCTGTATTTTGTGTCTTATATATAGTGTTGAAACGAAAGATGTTCATATTAAACGTGGCCAAAGCTTCAAATAACAAGCATGAAAAAGTAAAGCTCAGGCTTCAGACTGTTCTGGATTTGACTCTTTACATTTTTGCTACTCTGGGTGCAACATTATGTCATAGCGTGCCTGATTTCTTTCCATGGTCATCTGCTCCAGGCACATTACATAGCTTACATGCTAAATGAAGCTACATGCTAATGTCAGGGAAATATGTAAGCTTGGTTGCTGATGTTGTAAATTTCTCTGCGATTTCAGATCAAAGTCCTGCTGGAACTTGTGCAGTTGTGTTTCAAAGCTTTTATTAGTGATTAGATTTTAAACGGTAAAAAGTGACACTATACTTCATTAATAGGGTCATTCCCCAGCTGCAAGTCACAGTGTTGAATCATGTCATATCATTGGGGTTAGGGCTGTGCCATATCATCTCATTTACTATAATACCGATATCATTTTTAATATCAAATGAAAAATTCACATCATGATACTTGATGACATATTGACATCATACTGTTACCCACAGCAACAACAAGCATGGCTGAAAGTGAAATTATTGCAGACATGGTGGTTCCAAAAAGAGGAGCAGCTTCAGTAGTGTGGAATAAACTGTGGTGTCCTGAATGTTTTATGAACAGCCCCGGACTTCTCAGACTCTTCTAGTGACTTAACCGCTCAGAGGGAACTCATTCAGCGGCTCCTCTGGCAGCAGCACAGCGTCTCTCCCTCTCCTCTCTCGCCGTGCGCACACAGGAGTCTGTGTCGTCAAGTGATTTTGTCATAAACCTTTGGTAATGTAAACCTACGTGACGCTTGCAGCTCAACAAAAAACTCCATGTGTGACTGTGCGATAGTTGTGGTAACATAACATAACATGATTAGAGGAGAAATGGCAGAGCATAAAGGTCCAGGTGGAAAAAACACAACTCAGTCATTTAGGATTTTACTAAAAGGAGGAAATCAGCTGTTCAACTTATATATATATAGATCCCAGGGGACATTTTTTTGTATTTGGGAGCTGTTTAAATGTGTAATTTGTGGTAGATTTTATTTTGTTGAACTATTAATATTGTAACAGAATCTGAATCTCACTCTGAGTTACTGTTGTTGTTCACAAACTAAAGAAATGAGAGATCATTTTAGTTTTTACTGAATATTTTGTTGCAATTCTATGTTCTTAAATTAATAATTAATTATATAGATATATATATATTTTTTTACTATATCGTGACCTGAAATATTGTGATATTATTTCAGGGCCATATCGCCCACCCCATATTGGGGTACAACACATGTGCAGTGAAATCTGGTCTGCACCTGCCAAAAGATTTACTACCTGGCGCACTATCATAGAACATGGGGACGACTGATTCATCTTACAGAGACGTCCGCAGACGGCCTTACGTCGAAATATGTTTTATATGAAAAACAAAGATTTGGGTGAGAATTAAAATACTGCAATTATCATTATCATTATTAAAAAAGGTCCTAAATAAGAGGCCATAAACAAATGCTTTCTTTATAAATCGCTGAAATGTGTATTGGACACCATCCACTCAAGCGTAGCCTACCCAGAAAGGTAGGTCAGACTGAGCGCACCTTAGGAGGCTTAAAAAAGTGCATCCAAAGATCACCTGAGTGAACGCCATCCTTTTTTTTCTAGCCTCATCTATTGTTACCCTACAACATTGGAGCTCCAGTTACAGTGCACATGTGTCATACACCATAGCTCCCACGGGGTCAAGACTGTGTCCCCAGTCCTCGTTGAATAGCCTTGGGCGAGATATGGAAGACCTGGAAACCTTGATTAATCAGAGCAGACAAAGCTTTTTTTGGGAGGGGGACTTTAAGAGACAGGCACTAGCTTTTCAGACAGAGTGTATTATTATTATGTAGTAGTATTATTATTATTATGTTCCAGCACAGACAGTATGAGGGAAATAAAGCTTTTTCCCATTAAAGCATGTAAACATGTTCTAGTAGAAACCCAAAATACAAGAATGAACATGAAAATGAGCAGAATAAGTCCTCTTTAAAACCTGTCTGATTGTCTTTAGATTATGACCATGTTCCCAAACCCCAGCTGTTACAATGGCCAGTGTTGTTATTACTAGGGCTGCAAATGCCAATTATTTTCATTGTTGATTAATCTAATCTAATTTTTTTTTGGTCTATAAAGTGTCAGAAAATGGTGAAAAATGTCCCAAAGCCCAAGACTGTTCTGTCCAAAACAAAAGATATTCAGTTTACTGTTACAGAGGAGGAAAGAAACCAGAAGCTGGAATCACAGACATTTGACTTATAATCTTACACAATACTCACAAGTTGGCAATTAATCAATTTATTGTGCAGCTCTAGTTATTTCCAAAATGTATGGTGGCCAAGAACTACAAAATTGTGACTCAGAGCCTTAAAAATTTATTAGGTTTAAGGATATTTCCTGAGGACATGACTTAAGTTAAATTAAAACAAACTTTTGCTGATAATGAAAATCTTAAGATCTGGCCTCGGGGCTGAGATGCCGACCACGAGCCACATTTTGTCCATGTTGCTTTCCATCTCTTAATGCAGGATTTCACTTCCTGTCATCACTCTACTCCAGGGGTGCTCAAAGTTTTGATGACTAAGTGCCAATTTAGAGAGCCAGCATATGATTAAGAGCTGCAGAGGGAGAGTTCCACTGAGATGACTAACTTCAGCTAACAGCACTAGTATTGATGACAGAACGAAATTCCTGCAGCTACTGTGAGGTGCTACTAGTTGCCATTCAACCAGTAGCTTCCTACAAGTTGTCATTTCTAACTTGACAGATGCTTGTTAGAGAAGCACAGTTTGAGACAGAGAACCATTCACACTCAAATTCACACCTACAGTACGGACAATTTAGAGTCACCAGTTAACCTGCATGTCTTTGGATTGTGGGGGGAAGATGGAGTACCTGGAGAAAACCCACGCTGACACAGGGAGAACATCCAAACTCTGCACAGAAGGGCTCCCCCACCCTGGGCCATTTCTGAGGACAGCCAATGACCCACATCTTGAACAACAATTTTCTAATAATTTTCAAATTGTAAGGGAGAGATGAAGCTCATGGAGGCTGTTAAGGTACTAAAAAAACCATAAACGTCTGACTGCCACAATACCCACTGAATTCGTAGTCCTTCTCAGAGTCAGCTCAGTGAAATCTTAACAGACCTGATGTACATATCTTTAGACTCTGTGTGACTCTCACTTCCCAAGGATATCATCTCTGATGTCCATTGCCATTAATCATCGATAAACCTGCTCAGAAATCACAGAAAAAACTACAGACCTTGCCTAAGAATCATCATGTTTTTAAGTTTCAAAGTAAACTCAGTGATAATTGTCTGTACATTTGTGGGTACATTGCAGACAGGAACTACTAACAGTTCATTCGGCACACTTTTAATGGTGCCAATTTGCCAAAATATAAATACATATACATACATACTTTTCTTAAATTGCTCTCATATAGTTTCTGTTTTCATTTCTATTATTATTTTAGTTCTATGTACCTTGAATGGAACATGTACATTAAAAAAAGTCCTGATGGAACTGTAGATAGGAGCACTGTTATCTGTCATTTCAGCAGTAAGGAATTTTCGCTCCATCGGAGTACTAAAAGCCTGAAATATTACCTCAGCATGAAGCATTAAGCAGCAAACCCGGAGGTCCAAGCTAGCGCAGCCTCCTACAGCCACAATCGCCTAGGTGTTTAGACTCAAACTGAGTAATGCAGACTTTATACTTCTGCGTTGTATCAACGCTGTAGTTACAGTGTAGGCTCCATTTCGTAGCCTGACGTGGACCTCCCCAGATATGTAACAGCACATTGTGGCAACGCAGACCTCCTGTCTATGTTTGTAAGCTGAAACCATTTCCCTCAATGGAAACAAAGCTTTTATTTACTTTAATTTTACAGATAAGAAACAATAAACTTTGAAGACAATAAAGCCTCCACAAAAATAGCATTTTAAGGCTTGTGTGTGATTTATCCTGGCTTCATATGAGCAGAGGAAATCTCCACTTGTCACTAGGCTAATTTATACAATGCAAAATGCCATAGGCTTGTCCTAATAGCGTTAGCACGTTGTATTTGTGGGGAAAATGTGTCCAGATAAAGACAAGTGTTTGTGAATGCTGCGAGTTATAATGAAGCTGATTTGTGGACTTTGTGGAAATTGTCTCTATTAGGCCATCTT